CTATACGGATGCACACGCACGCAGGCACGCATGCACGCACGTGTACGTGGCACACGCACGCAGGCACGCATGCACGACGTGCTACGTGCACACGCACACACGCACGCACGTGTACGTGCACAGTGCCACGCACGCACGCATGCACGCACATGGTCGTGACACACGCGGCGCACTTACGCATGCCACGCACGTGTACGTGCAGACGCCACGCACTCCGCATGCACGCACGTTGAGTGCACGATGCACGCACGCATGGCCGCACGGGTAGTACACACGCACGCACGCACGTATTACTTCACACGCACGCAGCGCACGCACGCACGCACGACGTATACGTGCACACGCACGCACGACCATATCACTGCACACGCCACGCAAACACTCATGCACGCATTGGTACGTTACACACGCACGACGTGTCACGTGTACACCACGCCACGCACGATGTACTGCCACATATCCACGCGTACGCACGCACTGCGCGCACGCACGAACGTGTACCGCGAACACTGCGCGCACCGCACGTCACGTTACGTGCACACGCACCCCACACACGCGCAGGTGTACGTCGCACGAACGCACGTGACACAGCTCATGCACGGCAGTGCTAGTTGCCACACGCAACGCATGCACGCACGTGTACCGTGTATACGTGCAACAGCTACGATCGCACGCCGCACTGCGGTACGTGCACACGCACGCACACACGCACGCACGTTTCATCCGACGGCATGCATAATAAATCAGGCTAATAATCACTATCAGGTGGTGTGTCGGGTTAGACGCCTACCATAATCGCTAACTTCGATTACGCTTCACTTCGAGTGTAGCTTAACTCGACTGTTAAGCGTCGTCGTGTCAAGACGAGGCTATTATTAGAGTGTTAGTTTTAGGAATATTTAGTCTTAGACGAGTGCAGGATGTGCGGGTTTAGGATAGACATGTGGGTTATTGGCTGGGAATTATTTGAGTGAGAAAGAGCTGGTAGCTGTGCGTGCATTGGCTAGCAGAAGTTAGTTTGGTTGGATTAGTGGAGATCATTGATATAAATAGGGAGCTGAATTGTTTGAGACGGTTGGTTGGACTTGGACGGGGGACTGCGGCGAGACGGAACTGGGTGTACTTGGTACGTGACCACCTTAATTTGTAAACAATCTATCTTTTACAAATTTATAACTTCTCTTTGGTTATTATTCAACTATTAATACAAACCTTAGTGCTACTTTATGCTACACATACATACACACATACATACAGACATACAGACATACACACATACATACATACATGCATGCATGCATGCATGCACGCACGCACGCACGCACGCACGCACACACACATAAATACACACATACACACATACACACATACACGCATGCACGCATACACGCATACACGCATACACGCATACACGCATACAACGATTACACGCATTACACGCATACACACATACACACATACCACATACATACATACATACATACATACATACATTACCATAACATACATACATACTACATACATACATTTACATACATACATACATACATACATACATACATACAGACATACATCAACATACATTACATTACATACAATACATACATACATACATACCATACATACATACGATACATACAGTACATACATACATACATACATACATACATACATCATACATACATACATACATCATACATACATACATACATACAACATACATTACATACATACATACATACATACATACCTACATACATACATTACATATCATACATAATACATACCTAGCATACATACATACATACATTACCATACATTACATTACATAACATACTACATAGATACTACCATAATCAGTACATACATGTACATACATACATACATACATACATACCATACCTTGACATACATACATAAATACATTACATACATACATACATACATACATACTATACTACATACATACATACATACATACATTACATACATACATACCATACAATAGCATACTAGCATACATACATACATACATACTATACAACAATTGTATTTACGTGCGCGTGCGATCGTGTGTGTGTGTGTATGTGTATGTGTCGCATGCAAATCAATAAGAGAACGAAACAAAAAAAGGTTACGCACACGTGGTCAAAATCACGATAAACGCAAATACCGATCGAGAAAATTCATTAGGATAAAATTAGCAGACAGTAATATCGTTGTCTGGTAATAAGTGACTACAGGAATGTTTAGGCAACGCTGTGCTTCCGCGTCATGTTATAAGATCAAGAATTTTAACCTACTGTTTCTGCAAGCTAGTGCAATCAGCTAGTGTTAGTCAAAACAAAAGTATGATTGCTGTACTCGTAAACCTTTATATCCCACATTTCTTTGCGACTCCAATCACCAAGCAAATCGTCACACAACGGACGTGAAGCAAGCCTATCACTCTTGATTGGCGCACTCGTCCGCTTTCTATCGCGGCTTAATTACACTCGTTTCATATAATAATTACATATAGCATTATATATATATATATATATAATTATATATAAATAATATTGCTTATATAAATATATAATATATAATAGAATAATATGTATTAAGCAGCGAGGATACAGTATGCGCTGCTATTTAGGTTTTTTTTCGGAAATTTGGTTACGTTTAGAATCATAATAGGATGTCGTTAGCGAAGTATGAGCGGTTGTTGCTAAAGAAAGTTCACGGCTAAACTACAACACACGAACGTCGGATTTGGGTTGTATATGTTTTATCAAACAGAGCTTTCGAAATGGACCAATTTTTTTAGCGAATGTGGATGTCCTTTGCCCCTCTTCTAGTAATTATAAATTTGTGATATATATTTACCGATCTGGCAGTGTAATTATTTGTCCTGTATGCGAACGTCGATGACAAGGTGTCTCCCACATGGGACCTGCGATACGGCTCCGTATTAGCTGTCAGACACCTGCTCGGGCCGTGTGACAGATTACATCTAGAATAGAAAATATCAACGATCACCATATGGAATCATAGTACTCGATGGCGATATAATATATTTATTTATTATTTATTCATAAATATAACCTCATGATGAATTATTATCCAATAATATCAACTATAAGCTAAATATATCATAAACCGTCGGGAGTGGAACATTATACAATTTGCTCACCCGACCGTATGCGTGCTCGCACGATTGCGTGTGTAGCCTACCTGACTGCCTGTCTACACTCCACTCTCCCTTCTCAACTAAGGACGGGACTGCGTGCTGACGTTCACTGGCTTTCTATTACGGATGAATACAGCAAATGCTGCTGGCGTCGTATGCATGCTGACGGCTTAGTCATCGGGAAGTCAACGTACGGGCGCCAACAGCTTTAGAAATTATAGTTATTTATGGCTGATTACCCGACGCAACGCACAGTAAAGATAAATTGGTTTCGCGTCTCATTTTAAACATAATTTCCAGGGCCGTTAGGCTGGAGCAAATTCTCAGGGGCCGATGGCGGATCCGTGATTTCGAATTGGAGGGTCGCGCGAAAAACAGCCGCGGCGGGTCTGGGGGTCCTCCGCACAGAAACATTTTTGAAAATGATAGATTCGCATGAGATGGTACTTTGAAGCACTTTTGAAGGTACATGTACAAGCCTTTCACTTCTTGAACTAGGAAATTCCTCTTTTTAGTAGAACAAATTTTTATTTTTACATTTTGCTCCAAAATTCTAGGGATGGAAGAGGCTGCCCCCCCGCACGCGATACAGGCCCTGTAATCGCAAAAAACATGCATTACATAATTGTTAAATTAATTCGTGATTCCACGTGCGATTAACCAGTCGTTCACTAAGCCTCACTGTACATATAAAACTAGTTTGTATTACAATGGTATATAATATCAATACTGGCACTTCATAAAAACGAGCAAACCTTGTATCCATGCTTCATGTATATTGATATAATTTTGCATTATAGAGTTGATACGATATATATAATAATCCAACATTTTCTCGTTTTGATAATGGTTATAAAAACAATTGCAGGCTCTCTACTATTTGACAACACACGAGTCACGCACCACAGCACAACAGCTACGCACGACGACACGCCCGACGCACTGCCCACACGTACGCCACGAACACACGCACCACACAGCACGCAGCGACGGCGCCCTAATATATATATATATATCAAGAGTGCATAATAGAGTGATTGACTTTATTTAACTTGATTTAATAACATCTCAGACTGCGCAGCCGTGATATTGTACCACGCAAATCTTCACACGCACACACACAACTCGAACGTTGAACTTCGAACACAACTTGATGGGAAGCATGTTAATGTTAATATGTTAATGTCTTAATCAATAAGAATAAGACCTCCAAAAAATTTCGAATCATTGTTTTACAATTATAAAGATTAATTTAGCATTATTTTGCTTTGATTGGTCGACGCAAATTATAGGATTAAATACATTGATGTTGGAAGTAATTGTAGAGCTAGTGATGGGGGATATATGGGGAGTTTATCGAAACTCCTATCTGATCATGGCTATGGAAGTAAACACCCTATACACATACCACAGGGGAAAGGTTTGGTAATAGAAATACTCAGTCTATGACTATTGTGGCAGATAAAGTTTGATTGAGGATTGAACGTTAATATAAAATTACGTCAACACTTGACACAAATGTGAACAAAAGCTTTTCACTAGAAAAAAAGAACGTGTGTGTGTAATAATGTACCTACCTAATGCTTGAGATCATGTTTAAAAATGAACATTAATTAATTGTAAAAGAAAAATACAGTAAACAAATAAAAGCAGAAGTTATTTTATACAAATTAGTTAATTATATTTAGTTCATTAAAAGTCCGAGAGTTTTCGAAAAGTCCGGGTTCTTTGGTGGTCGGACTTCTTTAGTGTAGTCGCGGTTGCATTGGCGAGATCTGCGCGGTAGATTTATCTGAGCCGGCGGCTGTTATCTGGGTGGGCTAATCAGTGTTTCTTACAGTTCAACCAACACAAACAAAACCCAAAACCTCACAGTTTGCACATTTTATCATCTCAGCTCTCGCATTTTATTATCTAACCTCTCATAGCCTAACTTGTACTGAGTTAACAGTCTTTAGAGATGTCTGAGTACTCACTCGTTAAAGGAGGAAAGCTCAACTTGAAAGGCCACAAAGAGAAGTATATAATAATTAATATATTAGTTATTACTATTTACGTTTTCGTCCTGCTCACATATCATAGTGCTCGGTCACACGGACAACCAGAGAGACCGGGTACAAGATGGCGTTGCGCAAAAGATGTGTTGTTCCCCGACCGCCGAAAGCGGTTAAGCCGCGCACTTCTGCGGGACTGGGCGCACGCGACCGCGGGGTGTTGTATGTAGCATCTCGCGCTCCCCGCTATACGAATTCGCGCGCCGAAGGAAGGCGGGCGCGCGAATGCGTATAGCGGGCAGCCTAACATCGCGCAGTTTTCGGGACACGTACATCGGCTCGGCTACATCGGCTTTGGAGGGGGGCCTTTCCGATTATAGATTGTAGGGGTGAGTATTGCGACCAAAAACCGTATTGCAATATATTGCAATACGACAAAACCGTATTGCAATATTTTCCAATACGTATTGGGAAGTGTATACCATGCATGATATAGTAGCAATTTGATGGTTTTAATATCATCATATATTGTATTATATGACATGATTTAATTTCTCATGTTTTTCTTGAGAAACAGAAGCACGGCAATGTTTTCCGCTGACAGTGCAGCCCTCTGTGCCGTAACAATGTCACCCGCTGTACTGAATACCCTGGGTTTGTCTATATTCAGGCCGGTACAGGAGATAATTTGCATATTTTGTCACGTGGTTTGTGTTATATAACCAATCAGATGTAATCGCGGCCGATTGCGGTGTGTGAGTGTGTGTGTATGTGTGTGGGTGTGTGTGTGTTGAATGGTGTGTGTGTGTGTGGGGTGTCGTGGGTGTTACACTATGGTGTGTGTGTGTGTGTATGTGTGTGTTGTGTGTGGTGGTGTGTGTGTGTGAGTGTGTGTTAGATATGGTGTGTGTGTGTGTGTGGGTCGTGTGGGTGTTACCATATGGTGCTGTGTGTGTTGTGTGTGTGTGTGTGTGTGGTGTGTGTTGTGTATGTGTGTATGTATGTGTGTGTGTGTGTGTGGTTGTGTGTGTGGGTGTTGGGTGTGTAGATATGGTGTGTGTGTGTCGGTGTGTGTGTGTGTGTGTGTGTTGTGTATGTAT